TGATAAAAGAATCACAACGCAAAGTCATGAAAATATTAGGTGTCTAAATGTGCCCAAAGCCTGTCCTGTTACAAGTGACACACCAAACTGTCACTAACAGGTGAGGTGACCCTCCTAACACAAGTATCCCACCCCTACCCTCATTGTTTTTACCAATCACCACATCTGACTGATCATAAATATCCAATGGTAGGTGTTGACAAGGGCGCAGGTTTTATCACACGGTTGTTTTACAAAATGTATTTTTTTGTGAAATCACAGTGTCTATTATATTATATTATATTTAATAAAAGCATAACTTACGTTTGGTGATATTTATATTTACACGGTTGTGTTTCTTCAAAACAAAGAAATGATTTTTGAGTGAAGGAACACGCGCTGGTTCATGGGACAAATGTTTACATGACGCTAAACATTGGATTATATTAGACATCGGTTGAGTTATATGTTATATAGTTATATGTCTTGACTGCAAAAAATATCAGTCTTGTGAAAAGGAAAATTGGTCACCATGTGGTTTTTCGACAGCATATTGCTGCGCTTCTCACATCTTAGGATGTCTCCGCGGAAACAACACGATCAACTGTGTAAAACCGGCCACAATGCTTAGAGTTTCTGGACAACAGATTTTTAAAGAATGAAAATTGGACGTGGTATAGATAAGGGTAGAAAAATCTTTACCTCGTTGTTTGTCCATTGAACTGTCTCCATGTGGGTCGGGCGGGGTTCGGGCTTGCAATTGCTGAGTGCTTGTTTTTTTCCAGTATGTGGGAGGGGGTTGTGTTTGTAAAAAAAGTCAGATAGGCAATATACACCAGACGCACATTTCTCAATCACCGACTTCCTGGAATGCTCTCTGTGAACACGTTTTGGTGGACGTCCATTTTGGGGAATCATGTAGACTATTCTTGTCTACTCTTCCTCTCTTCGTTCCGTTTTCTTTATCATCAGTGTATGTTTCAAACAGTTCATTTTCAAAATAAATTCCATCACGTTGTCCAAGCCGTCTGTGTATTGCTTTGAAAATGTCAGTGCGTGTATCCTCCACACTTTGGATATCGTAAGCCATCGTCCTTGCTGTGACAACTGGTCAGTGCTTCAAAATGACCCTGCTCGGGCTGCCCATTGTTTGTTGATTGCCTGGACGCTGGGTCAGTCAGCAGTGACAATACCATTCGTGACCAACTCGTGTTATTCCGGGACAAGCCGAATAGCGACTCGTGCCCCTCTCGTGGCCATTTTTGCGACCGGGTTCCGTCTTAGCGCAAACGGGCATAACTAAAACAATTGTCAATTCGTTGCGTAATGGTTCACATATATTTCCCCATATATTATATATATTTCAGATGCCTTTTAAAGCACATCGGGACGTGCGGAATTATACAGTATGATTGAACACATTTAACTGTGTCTTGGGTATATTTTTAGATGCAAGACATATGTAAAATCAAAAATTATTTCTGAGGGATTCTTTGACGAAGTACTTGAAATCATACGCGCACTCTGATTGGTATGTCGTATTTTCGCACATAACATTCATCGATAGGGGGACGAGTCTTCTTGCAGGTTACGGAAAGGGGCGAGTGCTGACGAATGTGACAATACTTGTGTAAATTCGCCTTCACATTTGTTTACATTTTGGACACTTGATTTTAAGCAAAACGCTCAAAAATGTTCATGATTCACTCGCATATACCCATTCCGGGTTGCTTCAAGGTCACATTACATTATTTTTGCACAACATCATCTCATAATTAACGCAATTGTGACGGAGCATTCTTTTCAGCGACATGCTATTCAGGCGCATGCGCATCCTGCTATGATCTACACAAACACCCAATGTGAATACGTACCAATATACACGTTGAACTCAATGTGTTAAATCTGATTCATTTAGGCAATTTCTAAAATGTCGAAATATTTTAGTCAGTTTACAAATAAAGTGACAAATCTGTTCATTGTCCATTGACACGCTAACTGATTATACACATTGTCTGAAACATAATGTTCTGTGTTGACAACCGGGCTGTGCACATGTAGCACTTTATATAGCTACGATGCATACTGGCATCCAGGGTGTACATGTGTCACTATATATAGCTACGTTGTATACTGACATCCTGGGTGTACATGTGTCACCGTATAAAGCTCCGTTATATACTGACATCCTGGGTGTACATGTGTCACTATATATAGCTACGTTGTATACTGACATCCTGGGTGTACATGTGTCACTATATATAGCTACGTTGTATACTGACATCCTGGGTGTACATGTGTCACTATATATAGCTACGTTGTATACTGACATCCTGCGTGTACATGTGTCACTATATATAGCTACGTTGTATACTGACATCCTGCGTGTACATGTGTCACTATATATAGCTACGTTGTATACTGACATCCTGCGTGTACATGTGTCACTATATATAGCTACGTTGTATACTGACATCCTGGGTGTACATGTGTCACTATGTATAGCTACGTTGCATACTGACATCCTGTGTGTACATGTGTCACTTTATTTAGCTACGTCGTACACTGATAGCCTGTGTGTACATGTGTCACTATATATAGCTACGTTGCATTCTGACATCATGTGTGTACATGTGTCACTATTTATAGCTACGTTGTGTACTGACATTCTGGGTGTGCATGTATTACTATATATAACTACGTTGTATACTGACATCCTGCGTGTACATGTGTCACTATATATAGCTACGTTGTATACTGACATCCTGCGTGTACATGTGTCACTATGTATAGCTACGTTGCATACTGACATCCTGTGTGTACATGTGTCACTTTATTTAGCTACGTCGTACACTGATAGCCTGTGTGTACATGTGTCACTATATATAGCTACGTTGCATTCTGACATCATGTGTGTACATGTGTCACTATTTATAGCTACGTTGTGTACTGACATTCTGGGTGTGCATGTATTACTATATATAACTACGTTGTATACTGACATCCTGCGTGTACATGTGTCACTATATATAGCTACGTTGTATACTGACATCCTGGGTGTACATGTGTCACTATGTATAGCTACGTTGCATACTGACATCCTGGGTGTACATGTGTCACTATATATAGCTACGTTGTATACTGACATCCTGGGTGTACATGTGTCACTGTATAAAGCTCCGTTGTATACTGACATCCTGGATGTACATGTGTCACTATATATAGCTACGTTGTATACTGACACCCGGGGTGTACATGTGTCACTATACATAGCTACGTTATATACAGACATCCTGGGTGTACATGTGTCACTATGTATAGCTACGTTGCATACTGACATCCTGTGTGTACATGTGTCACTTTATTTAGCTACGTTGTACACTGATAGCCTGTGTGTACATGTGTCACTATATATAGCTACGTTGCATTCTGACATCATGTGTGTACATGTGTCACTACTTATAGCTACGTTGTGTACTGACATTCTGGGTGTGCATGTATTACTATATATAACTACGTTGTATACTGACATCCTGCGTGTACATGTGTCACTATATATAGCTACGTTGCATTCTGACATACTGGGTGTACATGTGTCACTATATATAGCTACGTTGCATTCTGACATACTGGGTGTACATGTGTCACTATATATAGCTACGTTGTGTACTGACTTCCTGGGTGTACATGTGTCACTATATATAGCTACGTTGTGTACTGACTTCCTGGGTGTACATGTGTCACTATATATAGCTACGTTGTATACTGACATCCGGGGTGTACATGTGTCACTATTTATAGCTACGTTGTATACTGACTTCCTGGGTGTACATGTGTCACTATATATAGCTACGTTGTGTACTGACTTCCTGGGTGTACATGTGTCACTATATATAGCTACGTTGTGTACTGACTTCCTGGGTGTACATGTGTCACTATATATAGCTACGTTGTGTACTGACTTCCTGGGTGTACATGTATCACTATGTATGGCTACATGTATATACGTTCCTACTCTGTAACTCGTCACGATATGGCTGAAATATTGCCGATGTGACGTAAATCATTAACCCACTCACTCACTCCTACTCTGTAGACAATACTGGAAGACAGGAGTGATAGATAGTCCTGACTTTATCATTGTAACAAGAACCTGATACCCAGTAACAAAGCAGTACAATTCCTTGCATCTCTAAGCAATGAGATGTTTTCATCCGCACTCCTACATGAGACAGCGCTCTGTCATGAATTTGGGGTATCGACCCGTGAAGATTCCGGGGTAGAGTAGCTCTTCAGCAACCCATGCTTGCCGTAAAAGGCGACTAACGGGATCGGACGGTCAGGCCCGGTGACTTGGTTGATGCATGTCAAGGGGACACGTAGTGGTATGAGGGGACACGGGTGGCCCAGTCGTCTAAGGCGCCGCGATTCGCTGTGCAGAGGTGCGTCCCTTAGGCACGCCAGAAACCTATGATTATGGGTTCGAATCTCGGTTCGCCCCGATTATGTTTCTAGGTTTGTCAGCACCATACCCGTGCCTGTGGGTTTCATCGAAGTGGTAAACGTCTGAGACCTACATCACTTCGGGCTTTCCTCCCACACTAAGCTGACACGCCGTGATATAACTGGAATACTGTTAAAAGCGGCATTAAACCCAACTCACTCACTCACGTAGTGGTATGAAAGAATGAATGGAGTGTTCTTTAACTTCGCTTGGGTACGTGTGTATTATTCTGGTGCACCAAACTGATGAAGATGAACTTGTATCTGTAACAGTTGAATAACGCTCAACTGAAGGTACTTAGGTCCTCTTTGCAACTGATGATTTATCCAAACGGTATCCAATTTAATTTGGGCAGACTTCCACAACTGACCTTTCTTGTAAATGTGTGTAGGTATCCATGTGGTCGTTTGTGTGTGTGTGACATGTGCGTGTGTGCATATGTCCTCGTGTGTGCCTAGTGTATCCATTATCAAATGATCTAGCTTCACACTAAGGTAATATGTCAAAAACACAAATATAGTACATCACATATTTATGCATATGAAAAACAAAGAATATTGAGGTACAAGGAGGGTTGAGGAATATTCAAAATTTCAGTTGGGATTATCTTTGACCTTTATAGGTCACTTTGGATTTAAAATAATCGGTGGAAAAGCAATTACCATTTGAAATCAGATGAGGAAGAAAGTTAACCATAAACCTAAAGTTGAGTGCCGACATGATAAACACTGAAATAAGATTTTGACATGAAAATCATTATGTTAATAAGCAAGGCTTCACCACAGGAATATGGCACGGCCATCATCATGAGCCATCAACATGAGACATTCCAAAAGGATGAGGTTGTCCCTCTTCTCTGTTTCCGTTTGCGAAAGAAGTGACACAAAACCTCGCAAAGTCTCGGCGTCCACGAGACCAAAGGCGTCCAGTGTTCTGCGATCTGGGGCATTACTGAGCAGTCCATACTTGTTGATCATCTCCTGTGCGAAGTTGCCATGCCTCTCAAGTTTATAGCCATAGGGTCCCAGGGTTATCACAGTGTACCTGAGTCTGTAGTTTAGCTTGAACTGTAATTGGTCATCAGTTGTTCCATCATATCTTTGGACCTCCTTGGCAATCATGAATGGGATGTTGCTGACGGTGTATCCATAGAAACGTCGCTTGGCTCGATCTCCGTCATGAATTTTATTCCTGGAGAAGACATAGTCGAGGATTCGACGTTCTAGTTGAAATGCAATCTCTCCCAAAATCCTGTAGGACGGTTTAACGAATGTGGTGTGTCGCCTTACTGGAACCGTGGACGAGTCATCAGAAACGGGACTTGGGGTTCTGCTTCCTGGAAAAAAAGTTATTTGGCTTCTTTAATTACTCGACATGAAACATGTTACATTGTTAATACCAAGAGTAAGTAAGTGAGTGAGTGCGTATAGTTTTACACCGCTTTTAGTTACATTCGAGCAATATCACGGCAGGTAACACCAGAAATGGGCTTTACACATTGTACCCATGTAAAAAATCGAACTCGGGTTAAACTCGTCCAAACGCTGTAGCCACTAGGCTACCCCACCACCCAACCAAGAGATTATATAACACATCACATCATAATTCTGACGCCCCTGATTGCGTGATCACGCAACAAGGTAAACTGCCATGTTTGATGGTAGGTAATACAATAACAAACAATAAATGGTTATGGAAATGTTTCGTCGCCTGTTTTCAGCCTAGTTTTGAAAACGTTTGTATCGTTTTGGTCAAATCGAATTTTCAAATGTGTGCTTTCTTTTGCCCGGCAATTTAGTCAAAGTGTATGCACGCTGAAGACGGGTCTGAATCCCATTCTTGTTTCCCGTTCTAATAATGCGGGAATAATGCTGAAAATTGCCCATGACCAAACTCGCTCACTCTGATGTATGTGTGTAAGGTTTCAGTAATATAAGGGCGGGGGACACCAGAAAGGGCTGAGAAATGATTATTCACCCGGCGTGGTAATTTAGTTCCATGTGAACCTACATGTATTTGTGGTTGTGTTTCAATTTAGAAATCACTTCATAGCATATAGCAGTCCGCATTGTTCAAGCTTTGTTACGGTGGTCTCTGCATAATAAATATGCTGGTCGTAAGAGGCGACTATGCTGGTCGTAAGAGGCGACTATGCTGGTCGTAAGAAGCGACTATGCTGGTCGTAAGAGGCGACTATGCTGGTCGTAAGAGGTGACTATGCTGGTCGTAAGAGGCGACTATGCTGGTCGTAAGAGGTGACTATGCTGGTCGTAAGAGGCGACTATGCTGGTCGTAAGAGGCGACTATGTGGGTCGTAAGAGGCGACTATGCTGGTCGTAAGAGGCGACTATGCTGGTCGTAAGAGGTGACTATGCTGGTCGTAAGAGGCGACTATGCTGGTCGTAAGAGGTGACTATGCTGGTCGTAAGAGGCGATTATGCTGGTCGTAAGAGATGACTATGCTGGTCGTAAGAGGCGACTATGCTGGTCGTAAGAGGTGACTATGCTTGTCGTAAGAGGTGACTATGCTGGTCGTAAGAGGCGACTATGCTGGTCGTAAGAGGCGACTATGCTGGTCGTAAGAGGCCACTATGCTGGTCGTAAGAGGTGACTATGCTCGTCGTAAGAGGTGATTATGCTTGTCGTAAGAGGTGACTACGCTGATCGTAAGAGGTGACTATGCTGGTCGTAAGAGGTGACTATGCTGGTCGTAAGAGGTGACTATACTGGTCGTAAGAGGTGACTATGCTGGTCGTAAGAGGTGACTATGCTGGTCGTAAAAGGCGACTATGCTGGTCGTAAGAGGCGACTAACGGGATCGGGTGGTCAGGCTCGCTCACTTAGTTGATGCATGTCATCGATCCTAATAGCTGGGATCGAAGACTCCATCGACTGGTCCAGACTCGATTATTTACAGACAGCCTTCATATAGCTGGAATATTGCTGAGTAAGTTAAACATCAAACAAACAAACAAACAAACACATTAACAAACAAAAAACATGTAAATAATCGAGTCGTTCATATTATGAGAATGATCGCCAACAATCAACCAAGCCACTGAGCCTGACCACGCGTTATTGGTCCTCATGGTCACTGGCATACTGGTAGAGTCGCAGATCATTCGCAATTAAGCTACCAATGAATAGGGTATGTATGCGGTTCAGTCGCAACTGGCACCGCAGTACAATCTGTGCACCATGAACGGGTTTGTCAGAGTCTAAGGTTATTATCAGTGTCCAAAACATTTCAGTTACATTACATTGGCATGTAAATAAATCGGGTCCAGGAAAACGATCCATGCCATAAGATGACACAACAGGGCCCCGTTCCTCAAAGTAATCTTAGCGCTGAGACTTACGACAATAGTAGCGCTGAGATCTCTCTGTGTAACGGGTCCTGGCCATATATTGCCTGTGAAACAAGCACGGGGCACTTCTGACCTACTTTGTGGAGAATCCCGACAATGGCATTACCAACACAATATGAGTGAAGACATTTACCTCTGGGGGAACGTAGACTGCTATTGTAGCGCTTCGACCCGCTGTGTGCTGTCGGAGATGAGGTTCTTCCTGTGGAGGGAAGATGGCATTATGAGATAAGTCTACACCTGCACATCATAAAAAAAAAATTTAAAAGGGGCAAAAAAAGTATATACACCTATTGAAATGGTTATTCGATTGTGATGTTTTTGACACTGGTATCATAGCTGTGTTTTGGACATTACGTTTGCAGTGTTCAGGCAACTGTTATCATTTTTTGGTCAAATCCAATTTCCAAGTGTACGCGTTCTAATGGGTAGTATCAATACAACCAATGCAGTAAGCCGACAAACACATCAGTCAGTAACTTCATGGACAAATGAAGGCTGTAAATATACGTTTATCCAAACCAGTATTTTGCAAGGTATTCATTACATATTTAAGGAATTGCAAACAATTTGTACTAATGATGAATAATTACGAACAAATAATGTTAACATAAAAACTTATATTCTCTACTTTATACAGTTAATATTGTCTGTGATGATTAGGTTCTTTCTCTTGTGATACGCTTGCAATTTTAGAAACGTTTTTATTTGATTCGTTCTACCAAATCTGACCTTTCTTTGGTGTTGACTCTGCTTTTGGTAGGCCATACTTCTGGGAGTTGGAGATCATGTCTGCCGGACTCATTGAGCGGGAGCTCAGTCCTTTGAGCTCTTCCTCCATTTCCTCAACTATGTTTGACATGTATCTGGGAACTGTCTTCTGCATTTCAGGAATTGGAGTAAGCGTTCTCTCCCTTCCAACGTCCTCATGCACGACAACGCTATTGACTGGCAGCGTGGGATGTGCGCTGTATGATAATCCAGGAGAAGGAGATTTCATTGCCGTACTTTGGCCTTGTGGAATAGATGCTGTATTTTGGACGGTTTGTCCTCTTGGGGAATAGCGACCCTGTGTTGGAGACGGTGACCTTGGACTATGGTTCTGAACCAAATGATGCTGGGGCGAATCTGGTGGTCTCATTCCACGAGGTGACTGGCCTCGTTGTGGTGCTGACTGAATCAGGGAAGGGTTGGGGGAGGTGTGTGACTGCTGACCCGGGTAACCACTCTCGTGTACATATGGAACAAACGGGGCGCTCTCTGGGCGCTTGAGACTTGCTCTGGTTGAACTGAGATCATGCGTTTCAAGCGTGCCTGAAAAATCACTTCTGCCGGAGAATTGGCTCATAAAAGCTGCAGCCACGTCAGACTCTGTGGGCAGTTTGACGGAATACTGTCTGAGGGCAGGATTAAACTGATACGGAGGAGGCTGTTCTGGGACATCAGCTTGGATGTCTGATCCTCTAGCTGGTGTTTCCTGTAGTGTTGATGAAATGATACTGTTTGGAGATGAAACACGCGAGGAGGCTCTTGATGGTTGCTGACTGATTGCAATGCCTACTGGTGAACTCCGACCACTGGTACTGGCAAGACCGGGAGTGGCATCTGAGAAAAGTTTTACTGCAGGTGAGGTCTGGCGTTGTCGACTGGATGACAACGTGGGTGAGTAGCTCCGTTCATTCGAGAGGGAAGGCTGTGGGGGTTGCACCTCCTGTAAAAGAGTATTGGCTGTTGGGTATGATCGATCAATCTCCTCAGTCCTTTTGTTGAAACCTCTGACAGGACTGGAGGGTGGAGTGAGGTTGGAGAAGGTCGAACCGGTGCTCACATAGTCCGATGACGAGATTTTACTATCTGTGCCTGGCGCTTTGTTTGGTCCTGGGGGTGTGATGGGACGAAAAGGACTAGCACTCTTTCGTCCCGTAGATGTTGCAAGGGACATGTCTGAAATAAAGAAACAACTTTGTAACTTTATGTACGCTGCATATTGCTATAATGTAAAAATGCATCCCCCAAACCACAGAAAATGAATACAAATTCAACATTCAAAATGGCCTCTTCTGCCTGTGGTTGTCAGTCATGACAGAATACATAGACCAGGAATGGAATCAAGAGGGGGAGGGGGACAGCCAGGGCAGTTGTTCTTGGTAATTTTCCGATCACGACACAAACAAAAATTCATAGTCTGATATGTTTGTTTACGTATCAAAAGGACATGTGACAAAGGCGAGTAGGGCTCGAGCACTTTCTATAAACCTATTCATTGGGATCGCTATTAAGTAAGAGACTTCTTTCTATAGGCATTAAAACCTATTGTGAGGTTTTACTTTCCAGTCTGGTTAAGTCTCATAAACAGGGACGTTGTAATGTCCCTGGGATTTTATAGGATATTCAAGTCATATTTGCTATAATATCCCAGGGATTTTATATAATATCCTGTGTATTTTATTAATGTAACTTCCGTTCAGATTGTAACATGTAATGAAATGTAAAATCAAATGACAAATGTTTTCTTTATATTCCCGAGGATCGAACTCGCAACCTTCAACCGGTGAGTGTACCACGAGGCTACAGAGGTGTTGATAAGCTACACTGGTTTTTAGAATGACCTTTTCAAGATCCGTACGCCAGCAACAGATATTTTACGCGCGTTTCCTTAGGTTCATGGAAAGTATGTTCGAAACATAAAAATGTTGATAAATGTTGTTTAAAGTTTCTTTTTTCGCCCCTTGGTTTTTCCCTCTCCCCAGGGCATGCTCTGTCTATCAAAACCTCGTAAGAGTGTTTTCTCCAATACGTAAAGATGGTGGTGCGAGTTTTACAGTCAGTTGATCGCGCCGAATCTCGGTCGTTTCAGTTACCCACTCTTTGACGAGCCTGTCCTGCCCAAGTAGTTGTGTATTCAGAGGTGGACTGAAGTTTAGTAAAGGTTATGTGAGTATCAAATGTTGTCTTATGGTAATGCTTGGTAATGCGGGGGTACATGAATGCTGGAACCATCACTCCAAGACTTCGCGGAACCCTCACGATTAATCGAGTTGCAGTGTCATGTCTTAAACAGACCCGTGGCGACAAGGAACGGCGATAATGAGGCCTTTACACAGGCTGGCGACCTTTGTGCCTCCCGTGTGCGACCTTAGAATATGCCAGGTCGTCGTTGGAGGCTCAAAGGAGGCCTCTGTCGTTCCAAGGTGGTACACAGGAGGTTCAGACATCGCCATGGACGCCATGGTCGCCGTGATTTTTTGAACATGTTCAAAACAGTCGCACAAAGGTCGCCGAGGAGGTTGGTTGCTCAAAGGTCTCTCAAAGGAGGCAGAAGGGAGGTACAAGCATTGCCGTTGTTGCAGAATGAAGGCACAGTGATCGGCCAATGGTCGCCAGGTAATAGATGCGTTCTGCTGAAATACTGTCCCGTAAATCTGGGCGATGCTTCTGCTTCCCTTGTGCCTTCAATGGGCGACCAACAGCGTGCATTGAACGATGACTGTGGCGACCGCTGTGCCTCCATTCGGCGACAACGGCAACACTTGAGACACCATGGCAATGCTTCTGCCTCTTTTCTGCCTCCTTTGAGCTACCTGTAGTGCCTCCTCGGTCTGCCTATAAATATAGGACTTGTACCTGCAGTGTTTCATTGTGGTTGCTGACGTTGAACAACTCGAGCAGTTACTGCTGAACAACTGCTGGAGCAGTTACATAGAAACATGATTTTCTGGGTTTAGGCGACCATTAAGCGTCCTGGCCAGTTTTTGATCGCTCGCAGGTGGCACAAAGGTCGCAGCCCTGTGTAATGGGGGCTTAACCATTGGTAACTGATGTTGCACCCCAGAACAAACAGACAATATCCGTCGAGATAGTTATTGCAACCTGAGCTATTTATTGGGACGTCAGGGATTGTCTTGTCACAGATAAAGACCAATGTCACCAATACCGTCTGGCACAACTTAATAGTGCCATTAGTGAGTGAGATTGTGCTTCCCGACGCTTTTAGCATATTTCAGCTAATCAAGGCAGAAAACAAAAACAAATGGGCTTCAAAAAATATCCATGTAGGGAATCGAACCCGGCTGGCCGGTGTGACGAGCGAACGCTTCAACTACTGATTTACCCCCACCGCCCCCTTACGCAGTCATAGACCAAACAGTGTATGTGATGCTGAGCTCTGATGCGAACACAGTGTTAATTTAATGTAGTGAGTGAATATGGTTTTACGAGGCTTTTAGCATCATTCCAGCAATATCACAGCGGGGGACACCAATAATGAGCTTCACACATTGTGGGGAATCGAAACCGGGTCTTCAGCGTGACGAAACTACCAGGCTACCCCACCGCCCATGATTTAAAATAATAATATAATAAAAATAAACCGTTGTGTTAATTTAATAAACTATACTGTAGTATCGATTTAATACACTATACTGTAGTATCGATTTAATACACTATACTGTAGTATCGATTTAATACACTATACTGTAGTATCGATTTTATACACTATGCTGTAGTATCGATTTAATATAAGAAACTGTAGTGTTGATTTCATAGGTACTGACGGCGAAAAGAAACTTTACCACTTTAAAAATGAACTTGTTCAAACTATATTAATGCATGCAAAACACTTCAAACACAACAATGCTCAATGCAGAAAGATGCACACGTGAAAAACACGTGCCGCTTGGGCAGCCTAAACTGTACGTGAACTACGGGTATATAAATGATACGTACGGCATGAGACACCACAGAATAAACAACACCACAGAAATGCCACGACTGACACCCGAACAACGCGAGTGGGTCCAGGGTGGGATACAGATATGAGTGTGTGAGTGAGTTGGGTTTAACGCCGCTTTTAACAGTATTCCAGTTTTAACAGTACTGACATCGCGGCGTGTCAGCTTAATGTGGGAGGAAAGCCCGAAGTGATGCAGGTCTCAAACGTTTACCACTTCGGTGAAACCCACGAGCACGTGCATTGTGCTGACAAACCAAGAAACATAATCGGGGCGAACCAGGATTCGAACCCACAATCCTAGGTTTCTGGCGAGCCCAAGGGACGCAACTCTGCACAGCGAGTCGCGGCGCCTTAGACGACTGGGCCACCCGAGCCCCCCGATACAGATATGAGCCACCCATGCCGACATTGCTTGATCGATTGGATGCTCCCGTGTTGCTGTAACTAACCTGATGCAACGTTAACGGACAGACCGGACAGACATGAGACAGGCCAAGAACAGGCAGGCCCAGGGTAGCTACCCCCAATGAAGACATATACTTTGCATCTCCAGAATCGATTCCTGACAGTGACGGTTGCCTAAGGGCTTGTGGTTAGTCGACAGACAGTGACCACACGACTCAAGGCTCAATGAATTAGGGCTTACAGACCTAACATAGAAAAGTTATTGACAGCGCAACATCGTCGTCAGAGATTTAAATGGGCCCTGGCTGTACGTCGTTTAATATACTGTAGTGTTGATTTATTATAATATACTGTAGTGTTGATTTAATATTATAAAAATATACTGTATGTTGATTTACTTTGATATTTTCTATCGTGTTGATTTAGAATAACATATTCTGTCATGTCGATTACTGTAATATATACTGTGGTATTGATTTGCTGTAACGTACAGTGTTGATACAGTTTAGCATTTATTGGAGTGATGACTTTATAAGTTACCATAATACATACTGCAGTGGTATTGTTCTACAACATATATACTATGTCCAATTTACTTTGGAGTGTAACCTAATACATACGAACTTCCCTCCAAGGGAGGGTCAACAAAATAATATATTTGGGGAGGGTCATGGTTAAATGGACATTTTTTATGAATATATAATGAAGAAAATGTACGAGGACATGGGGAGGATCATCTAAACATATGACAAGTATTAGTGGAGGGTCATTGCTTTCAGTACACTGAGTACGCTCAGCATAAATCACAATGTAACCCCCAGATTCGTATTAAGTTATAGAAATAGGGACTCGGGATCTATTTTTTAATCCCTACGACGTTTCCCTGCTTGAGAGTGGAAACTATTTCTCTCTATCACTGAGGATTTAGTTTGTACTTGCTTTCCTTGGTATAACTTACACGTATATGTACCATCGTGAGTTATAATTGTTTAGTTCTTGAATTTTCCTTCGGGATATGACACTGAGGTTCAATTCAACCCAGTCTATAAACTATTAGCAGATACTCATATACATTTTGTACACAATAAAGTACTTGTTCATGTCAGTACATCTGCTAGTTTCCTGACGAAATTGGCAAGGATTTTCGAATACAGAAATTGTTTTGGGTACAAATAACATGCAGCTGTTTATCTACTTACAATTTCACAAGCGTGCATCCCATCAACACGGACACGGTGAAAAGAATATGAACAAAATCTACAGTCTGGGCAATATGTATTTCAACAGAACGGTATGGTCCGTACCTTTATATGTAATTTATGAATGAGCTATCTTTATTGTGATTTTACATAAGACTATTTATTAATGAAACTTGGCATGGAGATGGAAAAAGTAGTCAGGCAAACGGTTGTAATTTCCATCATACTGGAATGGATGGGTAAATGCTATTAATACATACTATGCCTACGTGAGATATTTTCTTTTATGTCATCATACAGCGGACTTCGCTGCAGTGCACCAATCTCACACATACTGCTCTCTCTGTCAAACTACCCCATCAACACATTAAAACTAATTTATTTTTTTAGGAAGCTATGGTGTTTAGCAGCCTCTGAAATTATTTGGTCCTTGTGTGTACCCCCGTTCACGGTGGTCCGGTCGTCTAAGACACAGGACGTCAGCACCATTCCCGTTCTCGAGAAGTTACCTAAACGCTGGGCGGTGGTGTAGCTTAGTGGTTAAAGCGTTCGCTCGTCACGCCGAAGGCCCGGGTTCGATTCTCCATTTTGGTACAATGTGTGAAGCCCATTTCTGGTGTCCCCGGTCGTGATATTGTTGGAATACTGCTAAAAGCAGCGTAAAACCATACTCACTCACTCACTCCTACACACAGTACATTAACAAAGGCCCACTAGAACTGACACGTTTCACAATTGTGAATTGTCACTCACTGTCTCAGCGCTACGACTGTCGTAAGTCCCTCTTAAAGCATGGGAGTTACGATCGACTTAGCGCTAAAATCACTGCACCCTGCATCATTTCGGGATTTTCCCCTAACATCAAGCTGACACGCCGTAAAATTCAAGGTTGCGTTGAACCAAACTCACTCACTCACCCACTCACCTACACGTGGTTTGTTGTCAGAAATAGTTCTACTTACCAGCAAATTTCTTCCTAAACCTATCATCACACCATGCTATCACGGAAGAGATGAGGTTAGCGCTCTCCAGCTCGGCCTGTTCCTGCATAAGCCTCAGGCATTGCCGTAACTGTTCATTCTCTAGTCTCAGGTAGCGAGATTCCCGGCTCCCTTCGTCAGCCCCAACCCCACGGGGCGAGGTCCGACCCGCCGGGACTAGATCCGACGCGTGGAGGGAGGAGTTATGCTCCCCAAACGACATTTGTGCAGAGGATGTAAACCAACTGCATACCGCGACAATTTCTGGATAGACTGATTGTTGTGACGTCATCAATGGGTTGACGTCATAAATGGTCTGACGTCACAATCATTAAATGTGTTTCCTTTCACTGCCATTTTGCGCGTTCTGTGTCCAACATAGAAATACAATGCAATGGTTTCCTTGGGGTTTTTTCTTGGAGTTTTGCTTTATTTTCAGGCAGAAAGAAAGAGTGAAAGCTATATAATTTAACAAATAGAAAAGATAGTTTGAATATCAAGTGAGTTAATGAATAAAAAACGCTATTTGGCACAATACATTACGACATGTTTAAAATTTTAGGATAGGTAGAAATATACTTCATCCCATCGTTACTAATAATATCGACATGTTGCTCCCGCCGTGATATTGCTGGAATAATGTTGAAAACGGCGGAAAACCAACTCACTCACTCATTCACTGATCATGATATGGATGTTGTTAGTGTACGTAGGTACAATGATGGGCAAATTACGCCCACTCCGATTTTAATGTCATGTCTCTTCGTCAGAAAAATTACACAAAAAATTTACGTTTTACTATTTCACGGCTTAAATATTCGAAAAATTATTTTTAAAAAACCCAAGGTATAAGGCTGTTGTTTTTTTCCGCTGGCTTCAAAAAGACATAATGTCGTCATTCGTACAAACTATTATTCTGGAAAGGTATGACTAAATCATTATGTTTTAATATTAATTACATTTGTTTAAGACCAGGGCCGTCGGGTAGCCTAGTGGTTAAAGCTTTCGCGCGTCACACCGAGGACCCGGGTTCGATTCCCGACATGGGTACAATGTGTGAAGCCCATTTCTGGTGTCTCCCGCCGAGATGTTGCTGGAATATTGCTAAAAGCGGCGTAAAACCATGCTCAGTGACAATGACTGTTTAAGACCATATCGCTTGGAATGTTTGCGACTTAGGAAATAAATGTACATGTACATGTATATGCGTTTTTATTTACGTTGTGTTTTTTTTATCGGTGAAGGTACGTGTACATCAATGGAATATGATACACGTATGTTGTCTATCCGTACACTAACCAATAGTTCAGCCACATGTCGTCGACTTGTTAATTATCGAGTCTGGACAAAACAAACCAGTGATTGATGTTATTGAAAAAAAACCTAGACACTCGGCTTCAGACACGTCCGCTTTAATTACTGTCACTTAAACATTTAAAACATTTGGGGGGTTTTATAAAGAAAAAATATTTTTTGCCATCTGTTCCAGTAAGGTAGAACAAGACAGCCAGATTGAGGACTACACGCCTGAGTTGGCGAGTTGGTGGGCGAGGGAGGGAGAGAGGGAGCAATATTCCAGCAATATCACGGCGGGGGGACACCAGAAATGGGCTTTACACATTATACCCATGTCGGGAATCGAACCGGGTCTTCGGCCTGACGAGTGAACGCTTTAACCACCCGACCGCTCCTATTTCAGTTACATGTATATCACGTCAGTGATGCATGTCTTAGACGTTTACCACTTGTGTCAGTTTGATGTGGGAAAGGCCAATTGATGCAGCTCATAGAGGTGGAACTATTCTCCCGGGGGTTCGAACCCATAATCACAAGATCTGGTTAACTAAGGGACGCAACAGCGAACTGCTACGCCTTAGATGGCCTGCACTCTTTTGAACGATAAGTCAAGTAGTTTAGTCTTAGTTCTTTTGCATTTACGTTAAGATACAGCTGACAAGTGATACAAGTAAGAAGAACGACACGTGACATTGAGAATGAGTGAGTGAGTGAGATTTAACAGTATTTCAGAGGAAAGTCGGAAGTGATGCAGGTCTTAGACGTTTTCTACTTTGGTGAAACAAATGCGCATGGTATGTGCTGACAATACTTGGAACATAATCACGATCATAGGTTTCTAACACACAAAAGGGACGCAACTCTGCATACCAAATGTCCACGCTTTAGACGACAGGGCCTCCATATCCCAGCTTACTTTGACATCTGAATAATCAGATTATAGTTGAACAAACAACAAAGGATTGTCTCATATTTTTTATATTTTATTTTTGTAATGAAATAACACTTGACATGTTCCCTGGCACCACGAGAGAGTTGCACTTGAATAGAACTGGTAATCATATACATCAAGAACATGTGAGTCAAGTACATCAGAGGATTGGCCGATACCTGCAGTAGAGGCTTACAAAGTAACCAGCCCAAGAAATTCATCTTCACGAGGCAAGGGAGTTAACTGACCTTTTTACTTGACTTTTATAGTCAGTTAACTCCCTTGCCTCGGGAAGATGTAGAATTTCAATTTTAAAGGCTAGTCCTGAAGACTAGTGGGAACCTTATTTCACTAGCCCTTCGATTCTGTAGCTTGTCCTGTGTGATCCAGTAAAAAATGTTTTATTCTGTTGGAATTCGTAGCAAAATTGCAGCATTGAGAACTGGTTCAGAATTATAGCCCTCAAATGCTACTAGTCAATGAGGACTACCATCATTGGAATTTTGCTTGTCTTCCGCACAAATCTTGGGCTAGCAGACAATGATGATTTTCGAAGGCTGTATCTTTTGAAGCCACTGACTGACAACTATCAAGCCCTTGTCAAGCATTGCTTGAAACACATCTCAAATCACAGACAGCTTGGTTCCCTACTCAACCGGGTTCTACAAATGTAAGTTTTACATAGCTGAACACTGCCGTACGGACTTGTGTCAAGGAATAATCCCTGGCAAAAAGTAAATATACCACTCAAAAGAAGTTAAAGAACACCTGATAACTTGTTTTGAGTAGCATATATCTAGACAATATTCACCAATTTATCCATATTTTGTTTCAGGTTAAACAAATGATAACACATTAATTGCATGTGGTGCCACTGGCCAGAAGGTCCATCTAGACTTGAAACATACTGGTGTTGATATGTGTAAAGGCATTAGTCCAGTGGTCAAGGGTGTCACAAATTGTTGAACCTGGTCAATAATATATTTCGGTGGTTCTTTACAGAACTCAGCATAACTTAATAATATCCCTTTAATAATATCTCAAACATATTTTTTCAAGTTCTAAGTTACTGTATATTGAAGGGAAACAACATAATATCTGTGTATGGTACAAATATAGCCCTGAGTAAGGAGGATGGATAAATGGAATGAATCCTTCAATAAATAATCAGTGTGATAACTAGATCTTATTTCCGTGAGGATATTTAAAATAGCCTCAATAATCTGTTATATTGTGTTTTTACCTTCCAGTGAATCTGAAAGTCAATTTTACAATCAATCAAGCCACTCCATAGAAATAATAGCTGTGTTAACTTTTCGAATTTCAAAAAGCAGTTTATAACATTTTAGAAGATCATAAAAAAGAAAATTCAGGAAATTCAAAACACTTTGCCACATAATTACTCCTGCAAGGATTAAATGTTAATATTTGAATCTTCTCAGATTTTTTCCCAGTAAATATGTTGTTGATCCAAAACATATTTTACAAAAGATTTTTAGATTCTGTATGCTGTTTTTTGCAATATTCTAGCCATAACATGACAGCCCGTAAATATTCGATCGGACAGACACACATGTGGTTTGTGCAACACGGAATAATGTCCAATGTCGTCCGAGTTTGATGCTCGTCACACTATCAACCTAGACACTGAGTTACCTGATCCAATTCAGTCATCATTTACTACAAGCAAAAGTATACATTGAGATCTCTTTCTTCATTTGTAAATGTTTAATGATCATGTTAAGCTTCCAATAGTTATATGTGCAACAACTGTTCATGTTGTTTTTGTGATGTGATCATTTAGCTATAACAGATTACTCAGCCCTTGGTTAGAATTGGTCTTCAGCAACCCATGCTGGTCATAAGAGGCGACTAACAGGATCGGGTTGTCATACCCGCTAACTTGGATGATGCATGAAATGGTATCCCAATTGCATAGATTGATTTCATGATGTCAATCATTGGATTGTCTGTCCAAGACTCGACTATTTACTGACCGCCATCATATTTCTTCATGCTACATAAAACAACAAAAAGAAACCCCAAACAAACAGTGATTACTTGGCTGTTTCCCTGATTAATGAGGATGTATTCAAACATGCTTTTTAAACATTTGTACCCTGCACCACATGGTAAATAAAAGTTCACATCTTCAAAAGATGCCATAAAGTCTTAAAATAACAACCATTAACATGTCTTCTAACTTATACTAAAGAAATATAGTCCATGCCATACAGAACAATATAAAAGAATACATTAAAATTTGATAATTAAGGAGTTTTGTTTAACACCTTTTCGAACAGCATAACATGGTGATTTCTTTTCAACAGGACTGAGAGTGTTGCCATATATGTACAGCTGTGATATGTTACAAGCAGACACACAGATGTCAGGGCTTTGTGTAATCCCATGACATCATGTATAAGGCTAAAAAACAATTAGTGTAAACTCAAGGCTTGAAATACATAAGGCTTGAAATGAACTTTTGCGAACATGAAAACTACATCAAAATCTTTTTGACAAATTGAAAGGGATTGGTCTTAGGACTGTATCATATTTTGTTGACAACCCCATTTTTTGTAACATTTTTTACAGGTCCCCCACCCCCCATAATAAACTACCAGTCCCTAAATAATGTTCAAATTATATAACTGTTCTATTTGAAGAAAAAGAACACTGTCATTTTTTCATGCTGACCAATTTTTGCGACCCCACCTTTCGCTGTGTCATTTATTCATGACAAGCACCAACCCACACACACATCAATATCACTGGCCCATCCCCATTCCCCCTCTATGATAAATAACCAGCCTCTAATAATTGTATAAAAATCAATAGTTTTAACTCGTGATGGGAAGGTTTACAGATTGAGGAGTTACGGTGATAAAATGCAGAAAAGATCCTTTATTTTTATCAAAACAATAGTCCCTCTTGCTTACAGTAATTACCAAATTTGGTAATAATTTATTAATTTTAGACCTCATCCCCTATATTTCTGCTTTATTTTGGGGTTGGCATGTCTGATTTAAGGGTAAGTATGGATTTTAAGGAGCCAGTCGGGGGTCAAGCTTCTACATTGGGTCAGCGAGAAAACTATCCAAAACATCTGTAGGCCATCAATGGCTAGTTCAGGTTACATCAACAGAGTCACGTGCCTTGTTTTGACCCGCAGTATTTCTCATCCTTAAAAAGTCCTGTAAATAACCATTGAAACCTACCACTAAAACCTCCCATTACAGGAAAATAAATGACGTGGCTCTACAAATAAATGACTGATTAAATCTTATTACTAAAGGCATATGAAAATGTGCCAACTACAATAGTCAATCTGACTGATGTGTGTATGTAATGTTAGTTGCTGTTGAAGCTAGTGCAAATATTTGTTGTATTTGTCAGTGGCAGTTACTGACTGAAGTTTTCGTAAAATGTCCGGTCATGGGCAGATTTTGATAGTGGTCTGCAGTAGCGAGAACATCTTCCCGATGGCAAGCGTGTTAACTGACCATAAAAGTTCAGTTTCCACCCTTGCCGAACTACACTGAAATTTCCCGGATCACTCGTAGCACCACCAGCGGCTTTTAAGAGTTATGTCCCTTCTATGTGCTTCCTATTCACCAATTAGATACCATCTTTTATATTACTTGCATTTGCTTCAAACAAAATGGCAGCGCACAGTCAAGAGGATCTGATCAGTAATCAAGATCTATATTGTAATAAAATGGGTCTTACCCCGCGAAGTGCATCAAATCACTTGAGCACCTTGATTAAAAACATCAAAAGATTATTAAAATATCTGACGATACCCAGTTGAGAGTATACATGCTTTTCAAATCCTGCAGTCAACCGAAATCTGCACGTTGAAATCAATGTTGTTTATGAACGGGATGTCTAGTTCGTTCTAATGATTTGGATTGGATTATGCATAGACTAGTTAATTCCAGCCAGAATGTAGCTCCAGAATTCTAACCTAGTCCGGCAAGGGTGGAAACTGGACTTTTTATAGTTAGTTAACGCCCTTGCCTCGAGAAGATGTCATTGATCTTGCATGGCCAATTACTTATTTCACAACTTAGTTCTGCACATACCCATTTCTGGTGTAACCTTTGTGTTTCATTTGGAAATCCCCTGAAACCTTGGCTGGAACAGCTTCTCCTGGGCAGGTGAAGCCCATAGACGACGTCCGACTTGAGGAGATCTGTCATGAGATACTGCCCCAGACACTCATCCACACACACACTGCATGAACACAACTAGCTGGACGGAATACACGCCCTGACACTCTGTCAAGGAATTCTAAGCTTATTAATGACTTCTGCTAATAAATTCAAACATGATCTAACTTCCAAATCATAAAAATATTCACTATTTTGTTCATTTTTCTTTTCTACAAGAAATATGTATTTATCCCGTTCCTGGTCATAAGCAATTTTTACTTTTTCTCTTGCATCCTGAAATAATTCGGCAAAATTGTGATAACTGCAGTTATAATATACCACTCAAAAGAAGTTAAGGTCCCCCCCAATTCTTTCATATTACTGAAGTCATGGCATGAATCGGTTGGTCCTTAACTTCTTTTGAGTAGGATGAATAATATTATCAGTCAATAAACATGGCAGTCTGATACATAAGGGTCTAGATTATTCCTGTTTGAAGGTGCAAAGTGCAAAATAATGCAAAAATATCATGACCTATAGTGAAGCCAAGGTATTCTAAAGTGTCAATTATGTCATTCCAGTTGCTCTGCACATCACTTTAAGCTATAATGTTTAAGTTACAATGGACAATATCATCATTAACAAGTTATCATATTACATCTTAGTGTAAAAAATGTCATAAATTTTCTTAACTTGTTATGGTAAAACAGATGAAAAGCTACAGAACCTGACATTTTTAGGGAAACCAAATAACCAGAGTGTATCATTGTTCATGACCCTCCCCTAGAGAAAGTCATACTCTTTGGTGACCCCACCCTGATTCCCTCAGACCCACCCATCCCATAATAAATGACCGGTCCTTGACTCAAGTAAAACAATTTACTTAAAGTATAGAGTTACAGTATTTGACGTAATAAGCGCCCTGCTCTAATAAGCGCCCAGGTCAAGATTTGCTAATATATTGGCTAGTGAACAATCCCAATTAGCACCCCTTCCGACCCCTATTCGCACATAATACGCACCGTTTCCTTCCCCTATTCACAAATAATACGCACTCGTGTGTTATATGCACCCTTTATTACTGGCAATTAAATTCTGGAAAAATATATCTGTCGTACATAAACATTTCAGGCTGTCAGCATAAACCACGAAAGTTATCTTTCAACTCTGTTTTTTTCACCAAAATAATATTCTAATAGGAGCCCCTATTTCTAATTTTGAGAGCGCCCTGGACGCTTATTACGTCGAATACGGTATGTAACATTATTCATTCTAAGTATGTCTTGTACAAAAGAAGATGTAGGTAACCAACCATCTGATATTCAGGGTTGGGGTATGGGATTTATTTTGTAAATAATAATATAAAAAATAATATGGTCTCAGGTTTAACTACCACCACACCCCAAGAATTGTCACCAAAATCAACACATTTACAAAACCGTATCAGAATAATGTAGATTCTTTCCTTGGTTGAGTGTTAAACACCTGCTTGTCATGCTTGCATTGAGAGATCAAGGCATGAGCTGACCTATTCTCTGACATGGGGGTACCTTGAATCATTGTGGACTACCCATTTTGGGACATACAAATAGATATTTATTGATAAATAACAAACACATTTCTTGCAGCACTTTCATAACCCATCACACCATTCCTCCCTAAGTTGTCCTTTCATTCACTGATCTAACTCATCTGCAGCCTCACTGTCAGTTTTTCACATTGAACTGGAACGCTTCAACTCTCCTGTGTCGACATGATGAAGATCCTATTGACCTACTTACACAATAAGTTATAAATAGGCACTGAGGAATGGTCAGCGAACAACCAACTTCTATATACTGTAAATCCTGAAATTAACATGAGCATGAATTAAATGCGACAAATGCGAGTGGTCTTTAATGACAGTTCGCATTTATGTCTCTCAAAATGACTATCAACAAAAAGACGGCCTCACAACACAAAAACACTGTGTTATTGTTATTACGGAATATTACTAACAATTTGAAGAATATTTAGAATGCAGTCAGAGTGCAGTTAGAATACACTTCGTATGCTGTCCGATATTTCTCCATTGCGATTGCACCACAAAAGTTTTGAGCATGAGCAAAACATTCGGGCCGGCCACAAGAATGGCCCCGAAGCACTCAGAATGCAGTCTGAATTTTTAGGATGCACTTCGAATATCCAGAAATAAACAAAGAATTTCATTCCGACGGCATTCCGCCTCTAGTGTGACTAGGGTTTTACTCAGTGCTAATAAGCGGTGCTGATTTGTGATTAAGGTAAGGATATGTAAAGGCACATTGATTTTGAGTTGCATTTTTGGCTTGGGATCAGCAGTCATATTAATTTGGAAACACATTAATTTGAAGATTTACAGTAATCTACAAGCCTCTTTTTAAACCTAGCAGCCCAGACATATTTACAAACTGGGTTCTTGGGAACACCAAGAAAAGGAATTCAAATATTGCACCAAAGAGTAAGTAAGTATGATTTTTTACGCCGCTTTTAGCAATATTCCAGCATCATCACGACGGGAGACAGAGAGTTGCCTATATAAGTGATACAGATTGCACAGATATAATATAAATGGAACATGTGCAATACTTACAGGAAAACCCATGTCCCATTTCATAAGTTAACATTGATAACATGAAACCATCACCTGGCAACACATTTAAAGCATATGACCAATTTCAAAGACACGTTTTAACTTAAAGGCTTCTTCAATGATTTCAAAGGCACATGCTTGTACTTCTTACATGACTTCAGTACAAGATTCCACATTTGGTTTAGGCTTAAAAAAATAAAATAATTGGTTCTCATGCAATGCATTTGAAAAAATAGTGCGGGCTGTGGTTATTTTTTGCTTGTTCAAACTAGTATGTGAGTGAGTGAGTGAGTTTGGTTTTACGCCACTTTTAGCAATATTCCATCAATATCACGGCAGGGGGCACCAGAAATGGGCTTGACACATTGTACCCATGTCGGGATTCGAACCCGGGTCTTCGGCGCGACGAGCAAACACTCTAACCACTAGGCTACCCGACCGCCCCTCAAACTAGTATGTAACAAAATAAACAGTTGTGTACCATCAACACGGGAAAGGGCCTCCCTACATAAACAAGCATACAAACTCCTATTTCCGCCATGACCATAACATGAGGTGTGCAGTAAAGGGAAGTAACTGCGTTTTATATTGCATTTTTTTTAAATATTAGGATTTTTTATTTCTTTTGAAAATGGAAACTAAAACGAAAGTGCTGCAGACTTTATGATGATGTGGGCATTGCCTGAGAACCAAGACTATTATGTTTCCTCGCCTTACGAATGAAATTCACTGAGAACTTTACTCATGAATGGTCGAAACAACTGATAACATTGTGTAACCAAAAAAACAAGTTTTAACATGGAAATATACCAAAACATAATTAATATTTACCTGGTTAGAATAAAGATTTTCAAATGTATTATTCACTATTTCATTTTATGTAATTGTAAAACAACTGGCCAAGAATAAAATAGTCAGAAGCCTTTTATTCTTCTTCTAATATCAATTTGTTTTGTAAGACGTTTTTTTAAACCAACAAAAACATATAAGGCTGCATGCTTCAGAACATGTATTGAGTCTGGATATAATACTTGTTTGTCATCTATGATGCTCTTATATACATGTACAAGACCTCTAATTGTTCCTTAAATACATATTCTAGATCTATAATGGTTCCTTAGGCACTAATGGTTGTCCTAATGCTTCACAGAATTGACACGACCAGATGATTGTCGGAGTCTTCTACTGCTACTCTTCGCATAATTTAAATTAAGGTATTTCAAACCTCTCATTGGTAATTGTGTTAATCTTTACTATTTGTCTGTAGAGCATGTATAGGAAAACAAAAGAACTCGCCTTAAAGAACATGTATTTTCAAAATAACATTGAATTCTGAGACACAGACATTGTCATGTTTCCTCAAAATTGGTCGGCTAAAAACCATTTACTGTTTGCCTACGACTTCTTCTATAATGTGCCTTGGAGATCCATAACAGTTTAAGAATGTATAAGGTCTGCTGTACATGAATTTCATTCCATACTTAAAATCTTGGAATGCTGATATTTACAAAACATCACATGGTTGTCAGGCACAAATACCAATTGTTAGGCTAAAAAAAATAATGGTCTTGGTTCTCAGGCACCACCCGCGTCATCATAAAGTTTGCCACATGTTTTGTTTCTATTTCCATGTTAAAATAAAATAAAAAAATCCTTTTTCTTAAAGAGCCAGTACAGCACACAGTTACCTCCCTTTACATGCACACTGCTTTTCTGTGCATCTCATGTTGTGGTCATGGTGGCAATTTCAATGTTTGTATGATTGTTATTTAGTTACATACTTGTTTGAACAAGCAAAAAAACTAAAAAAACAACTGCCTGTCCACACTATAATTTCAAAAGTCATTGCCTGAGAACCAGTTCTATTATTTTTTTACGCCTTATGAATCATGTCAATGATATCCTTTTAAGGACATCACGATATGCCCGAAATACACACGCCTCACTCATCTCATTCATCATCAACTTGCACAACATCATCAACACAATCACACTCCTCTCGTTATCATTCAACCATTTCCTTTCCGAGGTGGAGACTGAAACAGGGTGGTCAGCTCTCCAGTGCCCTCGCCGTCCGAGCTGGAGACATCATCGTTGGAGCCATGGAAGACAAACTTGCGTATTGTCTTTCTGACAGCCTCATCAGTAGCGCTGGCTTGTTGTCTCCGCACATTGAGGTAGATGGAGATGAGAGTGATGTTGATGATGATGCTGACTGCTGCAATGATGCCCAGCGTGACAGAACTTGACACACATAATCTGAAAATGAATGTACCCAAAGAAGTGAATAATATCAAAACTAACATACTCTTATCCATCTTCCCGAGGCAAGAGAGTTAACTGACTTTAAAAGTCCAGTTTCCACCCTTGCTGAACTTGGCCGGAATTCCTGGGCTTGATGGTAGCGCCACCAGTGGCTGTTACGAGTTATGTCCCTTCCATGCATCTCCTATGGACCAATCAGATTCCACCTCTCGTGTCACATGCAAAATGATGGCGCCAAGACAATACGATCTGATCGACAATCATGATCTATATTATGATAAAACAGGTCTTACATCGCGAAGTGCATCAAATCATGTGAGCACCTTGATTAAAAACTTGAAAAGATTTGGAAAATATCTGTTGACAACGAGTTGGCGGTGCACATGCTTTGCAAATCCTGCAATTGACCGAACTCTGCATAACAGTTTACGATTCTGATTTCGATTTCGGTTTGCGATTTTGATTGGACTATGCATAGACTCGTTAGTCCAGCCAAAATCAAACTCCATAACACCAGCCTTGTTCGGCAAGGGTGGAAGCTGAACTTTCATAGTCAGTTAACTCCCTTGCCTCGGGAAGATGACTCTTATCTAGAAAAACACTTCTTTTGGACTTTTTGTTAATTATCTCAGCCGAAGGACATAGAGGAATTTTTGTTGTCATTATAATATCATTGCCTGTAGCATTAAACAACATTCACAAACAATACCCTACTAAAAGATTGAAATGTGCAGTTGGCCAACAACAGTTCAAAAGAAACTCGCCAAGAGTCAGGGACAGCAGACATCTGCTTACCTCAACAGTGTTAAAATTGTTAAAAATAATGCTAGCTGGTTGGTCGGAGGCTTGTACAATAAGTGAGTATGGTTTTTATTCCAGCAATATCCTAAAGGGGGACACCAGAAATCAGCTTGCATCGGGACATTGCATCAGGACACCTGTGTGGGCAACTGAACCTGAACCAGAATTACCAAAAGTCAAAGACTGGACAAATTGAAATCTTCATAGGCTTGAATTTCAACAGATCTTCAATTATTCCAAACAGTTACCATAGTGATTTACCACATATTGTTTTGATTATGAGCAAAATGTGAAGACTAATGAAGCTTCCAAAATGAAAACAATCAACATTCATATTGGTAACGGAATGCTGTATTGTGATACAACAAAATTTTGACACGTCATATCAGATGGCATTTTTCAGCTTAGCAAAAAACCAACATGTCAGGACAAACAGTAAACACGATCAAAAAGAGCAAGTACACTTTCACTAAAGAAGAAAAAATCAACTAATTACAGACCTGATAATATAAAAGTGACAGCACCAAACATGTAATACCATATCTTTTTATTTTTCAGGCCAGATTTTGATGTGGAATTTCTGATTCTTGCTTTCTTCACTGTGGTAATTCTAGTCCAGAAAAGATCCCCAGTACTTCATGTTTGTTCTACCAACTCACTAAAGAGGATTGTGTGGTCAGATTCAGCTGACCGAATGTTGTCACACCTTGCTGATGTGGACTGGTGCTCATGCTTTCAGTCACTAGTTTTCTGCATGGTCCCTTGATAGAGCTGGACAACCACTGATTTTGTTGTGCCACCCCTCTGTGTTGTTCTGTTGTTCAATGATGCATTCAGCAATATCTCAGCCACATGACACCGGACTGAACGTAATACTCTGGACCAGCCAATCCAGTCTGTTCATGTTGCTGGGGTACCATGACAGGCGATAAAACCAAGTCATCGAGTCTGACCACTCGATCTGTTTGGTAGCCTCTTACGAGGGTCGCTGGGGACATATTCTACCCAGAAACCCCCTAGGGTTGTGTCAGATCTACGAGTTCCGTCAAGGTTACCTGTACTGATCCGACTGATCCACCACCAGGTGCTTGGACTTGATCATCTCGTGTGCCACACAGGTACCAGCTGCAGAGACATCATCAAACAAAACATATTAGGTGAGGTGAGGTGATATGGGGTAGAACATCTGTGTAATATTTTGCACTTATATACCAATGTGCTTGTGTGTGTTGCTGCTTGTTCCAGTCTATGCTGATGTCGGTGCTAGGCAGGTGAGATACAATGCTACAGTTTTAACATGAATACCACACTCAGACACATGCCATGGAGCAACAAATTAGCACTTCTTCAAAAACATACCCGAATAAATACACCAACAATTCCTTCTATTAGGCTAAAAGAAAATTAGGCCGCCACACGTTTCGTAGTTATTTTTATTTTTAAAAAAAATTTAAAATCCTAATACCGGGGCACTTAAAATTAATGTGATCCAATATCACATGCAGTTACTTCCCTTTACATGGCACTGTGTTACTGTGCATCTCGTGTTTATGGTCATGGCGGCAATAGGAGTTTGTATGCTTGTTTATGACCATCCCCCACCTGCACCATATTTTCAAAAGTCATTGCCCGAGAATCAATTCTTTTATTTTTTTTAAGCCTTACATTTTGATTCCTGAAATTAGATTTTACAAAAATGTCTGTTCTCATTAAACCCATGACTAAATGATAAAACATTGGAAGTCATCACAGTAATATAAGAGACCGGTCATTTATTGGGGTGGTGGTGTGGGGTGGTGGTGTGGGGTGGTGGTGGTGTGGGGTGGTGGTGTGGTGTGGGGTGGTGGTGTGGGGTGGTGGTGTGGTGTGGGGTGGTGGTGGTGTGGGGTGGTGGTGTGGGGTGGTGGTGTGGGGTGGTGGTGGTGTGGGGTGGTGGTGGTGTGGGGTGGTGGTGTGGTGTGGGGTGGTGGTGGTGTGGGGTGGTGGTGGTGTGGGGTGGTGGTGTGGGGTGGTGGTGGTGTGGGGTGGTGGTGTGGGGTGGTGGTGGTGTGGGGTGGTGGGGTGGGGTGGTGGTGTGGGGTGGTGGTGTGGGGTGGTGGTGTGGGGTGGTGGTGGTGGGGGTGGGGTCTGAGGGAATCAGGAGATGATCACCCCAAAAAATTACTGTTCTTCAGTAAATGCTAAGGGAGGGTCATAAAACATATTACACACATTTGGGGAGGATCATGACAAGAAGGACATTTTATAATAAACATAAAGTACTTTAACATTTTGTCTTTTCAAGGATGGTCATGAAATTGTTCTTCAAGGACATGGAGAGGGTCATCAAAAACCATTTGATGCACCCAACACACATTGTTCTACAAGGACATGGAGAGGGTCATCAAAACCATTTGATGCACCCAACACACATTGTTCTACAAGGACATGGAGAGGGTCATCAAAACCATTTGATGCACCCAACACACATTGTTCTACAAGGACATGGAGAGGGTCATCAAAACCATTTGATGCACCCAACACACATTGTTCTACAAGGATATGGAGAGGGTCATCAAAAACCATTTGATGCACCCAACACACATTGTTCTACAAGGACATGGAGAGGGTCATCAAAACCATTTGATGCACCCAACACACATTGTTCTACAAGGACATGGAGAGGGTCATCAAAAACCATTTGATGCACCCAACACACATTGTTCTACAAGGACATGGAGAGGGTCATCAAAAACCATTTGATGCACCAAACACACATCCCCCTACCCCCTTGTAATAAATGACCGTTGCTGACATCACTACCTTGTTGGAAGTCCTGGAAAATCTGTGAATCTTGCTTTCTTGTGAAGTTGCAGGATCCGGTTATGTGATCACAGAAGCAGGAAGCGTCACAGTTGCACACACTACCACATCTAGCACCATAGAAACCATACGGGCACACTGCAATAAACAGGAAGTGTCTGTCATTAAGCATTGTAATTAAATGACACCTACCTGACTGACAGAACTCCCCAGAGAATCCCGGTGGACAAGAGCAATGGCCAGTGACAGAAACACACACTTACACCTACCTGACTGACAGAACTCTCCAGAGAATCCCGGTGGACAATCACAGTGGCCAGTGACAGAGTCATGCACACATACCTGACTGACAGAACTCCCCAGAGAATCCCGGTGGACAATCACAGTGGCCAGTGACAGTGTCATAAACACACACACACACACACACACACACACACACACACACATACACATACCTGACTGACAGAACTCCCCAGAGAATCCCGGTGGACAATCACAGTGGCCAGTGACAGTGTCACACAATCCTCCATTCTGACAACAGCAGTGCATGGAGCAGTTGAAGCCGTACATGCCTGACGGACAGGGCAGTGAGCAGTTGGTGCCATACCAGCCCTTGTCACACACACAGCCGTCTGCAACACACATGTCAATGCCTTGGATAGAATTACAACACAAACATTACATGTTTTCAGCTTCACAGGTATCAACTTACCAGGGTAAATCGGCTATTCTGAAAACACATGTAATGAGAAATGTTATCTATGATTTTCTGTAGAACTCTCATAGAAAGTCAATCTCATTAAAAACAGATCTTAGTTCTCGCTATCGCTAAACAAAGATCTGAGGACATCCCATTACGGGTCATGTCAGAATGACCTTTCATCCAACCAATCAGAGCGTCGCTTACCAGATCATGAAAATGACAGTCGGAATGTGTTTTCTGATCATGCAACCACGAACTATTTAACACAGGGTATTCCGAACGACAGTTATGGGTTTTATGATTATATCCATTACAATCTTGGCCATCTTTTAGCCATTCCAGAATGTTCTTCTTATCAGCTTTAAATTTTTTAATCGAGAATGCGTCAAAATATGTTTCAAGGCGTAGTCGCCAGTTTGAAACTAGTGTCATAAAGCTCGAGAAAGCTGCCTTCTGATTGGCTAATGTTGATTTCTTGTCAGTCATTTCATTGGTCGGTCAAAATTCGCGAAAGGTCGTTCTGACCCGTAAGTGGATGTCCTCAGATCTTTGTTTAGTGATAGTGAGAACTAGGATCTGATTTTAATGAGATTGATAGAAAGTCAAACAGCTGGGAGACAGTGATGATGGCAATTGGTATGCAGATATTAAACAATGGAAGGCATTAGGCTAAAAAAATAATAGTCTTGACTCTCAGGCACTGCCCCCATCATCATAAAGTCAGTCCCACATTTCACTTTTACTAACATTACAAAATCATAATACTTAAAATCAATGCAATCCAATATAGCACGCAGTTACTTCCCTTTACATGCGCACTGCTTTACTGCACATCTCGTGTTATGGTCATGGTGGCAATAGGAGTTTGTATGCTTGTTTATGTAAGTAAGCCCTTTCCCATACTAGTTTGAACAAGCAAAAAAGAATAGGGGGGGGGCATCCAGTAAGATTAATGAGGGTCCTAAAAAAAAATGAAACTATGGGGGGGGGGGGGGGGGGGAATCACAACTAAACATGCTAAATGTGTGTGTGTTAAAAAATAAAAATTTCGACTTTTACAAATAAAACTCTTATGAAATTTGACATCATTAGGGACTGGTCATTTATTATAGGAGGGCGTTTGACAAGTTTGTTTGTTGCTGCACTCAGCAATATTCCGGCCGCATGATGTCTGGACCAGATAATCCAGTGATCATTATCATGAGCAATGATTCACATCATTGGAGAAAAGACGGCTTGCAATCAACCAAGTCTTTGAGCCTGATCACCCGATCCATTTAGTCGCCTCTTACGACCAGCAGCGTTTGCTGGGGCCCAACTCCCCACGGATTAGCATGACAAGTGAGGTGAAATAAGTTCACCATTATTGCACTGATATATCGACATGACAAGTATTCAAATAGCATCAACATAATGACTAAGATAAAAATCCCAAAGATTTCCAGGCCAGTGACGACAATCCCACCTATGTGCATCAGTTATCACCGAACAAAAATTATCTTAGGGACCAGCCATTTGATATTCGGAGGTGGGTGGGATGGGGGCCCTGGACTTTGCATTGGATATTTTATTTTTTCAGTTACAGCTACAAAACCAGGTTGTTGTTTTTATTTGGAACTATAAGCCTGAAAATGTTTTTTTAAAGAAAATACCTTGCAACAATGTAATTTTTGTGGTAGGCAATTCTGAAGCATGATTATTTTATTCAAGAATTTTTTTTTCAATAAAATCACAACTACCCTCCAAATACCAAATGGTCAGTTCCTTATGCAGTTTTCACCAAATAAGGTCAGGCCCAATGAAGCAAGAGAACTGACCTGTCCTCGAGCAGTTTTATGTATTAAGTTTGAGGACGGCAACCTCACCTGCTGTGCATGTTCCATGTCCATTGCATTCTGCTGGACACTGCAGGGTGTCACACGCTCGCCCTGACCAATGACCTGAGCAGTTACACACTCCCAGCTCACAGATGCCATGCCCTGAACAGTCTCCCGGGTCACACTCTGGTTCGTGTACACACAGGATGGTGGACACATGGCGCTCACAGTTGAACTTCTTGTCAGGGCTGTAGAAACAGGAAGAGTGAGTGAGTGAGTGAGTGAGTGAGTGAGTGAGTGAGTGAGTGAGTGAGTGAGTGAGTGAGTGAGTGAGTGAGTGAGTGAGTGAGTGAGTGAGTGAGTGAGTGAGTGAGTGAGTGAGTGAGTGAGTGAGTGAGTGAGTGAGTGAGTGAGTGAGTGAGTGAGTGAGTGAGTGAGTGAGTGAGTGAGTGAGTGAGTGAGTGAGTGAGTGAGTGAGTGAGTGAGTGAGTGAGTGAGTGAGTGAGTGAGTGAGTGAGTGAGTGAGTGAGTGAGTGAGTGAGTGAGTGAGTGAGTGAGTGAGTGAGTGAGTGAGTGAGTGAGTGAGTGAGTGAGTGAGTGAGTGAGTGAGTGAGTGAGTGAGTGAGTGAGTGAGTGAGTGAGTGAGTGAGTGAGTGAGTGAGTGAGTGAGTGAGTGAGTGAGTGAGTGAGTGAGTGAGTGAGTGAGTGAGTGAGTTGAATTAAACACAATTTGAACAGTTTCACAGCATGTCAGCTTTATATTGGAGGAAAGCCTAAGTGATACAGGTCTCAGACATTTACCACCTTGGTGAAACCTACGAGCATGGGTATGGTTCTGACAAACCTAGAAACCTAATCAGGGTGAACCAGGATTTGATTCAATTATGATATTTTTCTGGCATGCTCCTAGGATGCAACTCTGCACAGCGAATTGTGGCCTCTAAGGCGACTGGGCAATGGCCCCAGAACATTCGTGAGTGAGTGAGTGAATTCAAACACTTCATAACAAGACCTGGTTAAAACAAGTAGAAGCAGTCAGATATTTACAAATCGTTATTCTCAACAACATTCTAACACAATGGTAGCAGTGAATGTTGATAGACTTTTCGGACTGGCCACTGAAGCTTTCCTCTAATGTTGTACATTCAAAGAGAAAATGCTCTCACCATACATCTGATGGGTGACTGACTAGAGTACCGTTGATGACAGTTGTGGCCGAACCTCCACCGTCCAGGTTAATGGCATTGACAAAGCCAAGGTCAAGCAAGATGGATGCCATCTCTTTGAGGTCAACTCTGAAATATTGAAAAAAAGACACAATAGTTTGAGATTTGATACTTAATACTGGGGATGCAGTATTTGTTGATAGAACATCACAGATTTGAATTAAAACAAGTGGAAAAATAAACTTTCAATCAACAAAACAATATAATAATTGGCTGCAGATCGACAGCAACCTAAGTTAAGCCACCATGATAGGCACCATGGTTGCCCAGCAGGATTTACACCATCCCTTCAGCTGCTGGTGATTATATGCAATTTTAGCCATTAATTAAAATTTACAAATATACTGCGATTAAAACACTAATAGGAATAGCATACGTTGAAAGACATGGTCTTACAATACTTTGTCAGGGGGACAATAAGTTTAAAGTATTTCAACCCGCTGTTGAGGGGACAGCCACAAACAATCTCAGTTAATAATTAAGCTGAGGAAACACTTCTTTTGAGTAGTGAGGTGAGGTGAAATGGGGCTTAACATCGTGTCCAAGATTATTGCACATATATTTATATATATCGACGTGTATGCACACGTGTGTGTGTGGCTGCTTATACTAGTCCGGACTGATGCTGATTTATAGTGCTAGCTCACTGAGATACCATGCCGCAGTTAACATGAATACCCCACCCAGACACAGTATACTGACTCTGATCCGACCAGTCCTTGTTTTAGCCCCTTAATGCCGAGCACCAGACAGGGTAACAACAAGTACCATCTTTTAACGTCTTTTGGTATGACGCGGCCGGGGATCCAACCCCGGACCTTCCACTCTCCGGGCGGACGCTCTACCACTAGACCACGGAGGCAGTCTCTTTTGAGTAGTATATGTTAATGTTGTCACCTGACGCTGGAGAACTGAAAGGTGTTATCGTACAGAATGGCCTATCATTTGTGTGGCATGCTTCACGCAAGTACAACAGACATGAAGAAAGCATCTATCATAATCAGGACGATCAGCCCATCATAAAATTATTATTACTCTTCTATCTAATTTTCTTCTTGAATAGGGGTGGGGATTTCACTAATTAACTGATTGCATCACATGAACAAGCAATATGACATGTTACCATGGTTACAGAAAATGGGGTAAAGACCGATAAATGACCATCCTAAACAATAACATCCAGCCATGAGTGAGGATGTGTTTGGGAGTGGTTTTTGTGCAAATATCAGAACTAACTTGGTCTAACTGTTTCAATGTACTTACCCCAGACTTCCTGTCTTCCCATCAACCTGGGCAATGAGGATGCGGCCATCTTTGTCATGTCCTACTGCGACTCGGGCTGACTTGACAGTAGCAAACTCACTCAGTGTTCCTAAAATCAGGATGATAACAATGTTCACGATCTGATTGTTCATCTGTTCACATCACATTTACAAAAATGACAAGACAAAAAGTGAGCGGGGCTCACTACCCCCGACTTTGACTCCAACAAACTTCTAAGTTCACATTAGGAAAAACATTTTATGTCAGAAAATACACATATCAAAATCAAACTTTGCACTGCACCGCTTCTATTAGTATGGAAACTGTTCCCTAAATTTGAAAAGAATCCATGAAGAAGTTTTTTCAGTTATACAGCGGTAGAAACTTACATTTTTAGTCTATTAGTCCTTATAACGATAACTTATAGCAAAACCCTTAAAAATGGCAAATTTCTACTTGTCCTTTTGATACCTTAACTATTGGACTATAGGACTGGTGCCAATTTCTTACGCTGGTTATAGGTCACTCAAATGTTTACGTAAAAACATTCTTAGTAACAAAAATGAAAACAAGCTGTATATTTTTCTGAAAATCCCAATATTAAAAACAAACTTCGCACTGCACCTCTGCTATTGGTATAGAAACTGTTCCCCAAATTTGAAAAGAATCTATGAAGCAGTTTTCAAGTATTAGGTCGAACAAAAGTAAAAAAATGAAAAACGCTGTATTTTTTTCAGAAAATCCAAATATTGAAATCAAACTTTAGACTGCACCTGTCCTGTAGGTGTAAAAAGTGTTCACCAATAATCTTTTTAGTAGTTTACAAGTTATAGGTTGCACAAAAAAATGTCCTCAGAAGGACGGAGTGAATTCCTAGGTATAACTATACACCACCGCTCTTTTAGGTCAGGGGTATAAAATTGAATTTACTGTCTGATATGTAAGATTTATTCATCACTTTGATCAATGTAGCATTTGACAAAAAAACAACCTAATATCCTCTTTGCTGGAGGTGAAGCACTCACCCACATTTCTGAAGCATCCTGAACAATCCCATATTTGGCAGTTGTATAGGTATTTGGATATACGATGTGTAAACATATTGCAAAATTATCATTTACTCGCTTGTGGATATATTTTGAAACCATGATGAAATATATATTTATTGCCTAATTCCACATCTCACCTGTTTCCTCTGTGTCGGAACACTCTATTTTGACACTCTCGTCCACATAGATCTCCCCCTCCCTCAGGATCCACAACACGCCCCCCACCAGCTGGGTAAAGTGCTGAGTCAGTAGATCCAGCTCAGACAGATACCTGCACATTGACAAATATATTTTCAAGGGCCTTGTAATAACCGCAAAGATGGAGTAAATTCTAATTTATCTGGAATTACTATGCTTCCATTTATCGTTCGTTCAAACAAACCTGAATTAAGTTATGGTTATTATTCCCTCAATCATCCGTTCCCAGCAGTTGAGTGGATACAGTCAGACAGATAAGCTTATACATGTCATAGTAGCATGATACCATCAGGTATCATATCTCTTCACAGGAAGGGGCACGGGTGACCCAGTCGTCTAAGCCGCCGCGATTCGCTGGGCAGAGTTGCATCCCTTGGGCTCGCCAGAAACCTATGATTGTGGGTTCGAATCCCGGTTCGCCCCAATTATGTTTCTAGGTTTGTCTGCACCATACCTGTGCTCGTGGGTTTCACCGAAGTGATAAACGTCTGGGACCTGCATCACTGTGGGCTTTCCTCCCACATCAAGCTGTCACGCTGCGATATAACTGGAATACTGTTAAAAGTGGCGTTAAACCCAACTCACTCACTCACTCTTCACAGGCCCCGTCCCACCAGTCCCGATCGGCAGGGTTCATCAAACACCCTGCATGGCTTCAACAAATATTGACCTGAGAAGACACGGGGTGGAAAGTCTTCAGCAAACCAAGCTTGCTGTAAAAGGTGACTATGCTTATCGTAAGAGGCGACTAATGGGATCGGGTGGTCAGACTCACTGACTTGGTTCATGCATGTCATCGTATACCAATTGCGTGGATTGATGCTCATGATGTCAATCACTGGATTGTCTGATCCAGACTCGTTTATTTACAGACCACCGTCATATAGCTGGAATATTGTTGAGTGCGGCTTTAAACAACAAACCAACAAACTAACTTTTTGTCTGACCATCTTCAATCAATATTTCATGGTCTTGTGTAGAGTCTACACGACATTCCTCCATGGAAATTTGACAATAACAGTTATCATCACTGTCAGTAAGATTGCAGTACATTGAAATTTGTTAGTGAACCCTTTGAAAAATCGATACGCAATGTGGTTCATTATTTATTGTTTGATATCTTGTTATCTTGGTCATAAAACACAGATGTATTCAGCAGATCCAGAGGCTGAGTGATATCAAATGTCTGTCATGATAGCTGTCTAAAATTACATCAAAATATTGCAAGCAAATTTTAGAAACGGCATTGCAGGGAATAAATGTAACAAAGTACTGGGCCCCGTTCCACAAAACAATCTTAGCCCTACGACTGTCATACATCTATGTTAAAGTATGGGTGTTGTGATCATTATACTGCTAAGATAGCTTTGTGAAAGAGGACACATGTTAACATGGTGAATACACCCTAACTTTTAAAATGTTTAAGAGAATGTAAGGGTAGATGTAAAAGTACAGCAAATCTAGATAAACTTAGGAATGTGAGGATCAAAGGTTGGTTGGTTTGTTGTTTAACGCCCCACTCAGCAATATTCCAGCTATATGATGGCGGTTTGTAAATAATCGAGTCTGGACTAGACAATCCAGTGATTGATATCATGAGCATCGATCCACGCAATTGGGATCGATGACATGCTTCAAACAATGTCAGCGAGCTTGACCACCCGACCCCCTTAGTAGCCTCTTATGACAAATATTGTATACATGTGCATATTTTTGTCTGCCTAATCATATGTGATAGATGAGAACAACCACTAAAATGATATCTTACTTATCGCTATCGCTAAACAAAGATCTGAGAACATCCCATTAGGGTCACATCAGAACGATCTTTCATCCAACCAATCAGAGTATTGCCTACCAGATCGGGAAGTGACATGTTTTCTAAACAAGCAACCTCGAAACGGGGAATTCAGAACGACAGTTACAGGCTGTAGGACTGATTCCGTGAAAATCAACGTTCAATGGGATAAACATTTGAAATGGAAGAGACTTTCCATAGCCTGTGGTACTGCCATACAATCTCAGCCATCTTTTCGACCTTCCGGAATTTTTGTTTGTTCAGTTTTCAAATATTGAATCAATATTTTTCAAAGCTTAGTCTGGAATGGAAGTCTCCAGTTTGAAACTAGTCCCGCAAAGCTCGAAAAAGCTGCTTTCTGATTGGCTAATGTTGACTTCTTGTGAGTCATTTCATTGGTCGATCAAAGTTCGCGGAAGGTTGATATGACGTGATCCGTAATGGATGTGGTAGCGGTAGTGAGAACAAATATCTGATCATAATAAGATTGGAGAAAAACAGATACATCTATGAAGATAACAAACACAAGTAGCAGCTCAAACATCTTATGAAGAGGTCTTGATGGGGTATACTGATTAGCACAAAAAACACCATCGTAAACGAAGATGAGTAAAATTCTTATCATAAAAGATAAAGTAAACTGTCTAAAATGTTCAGCGTAAATTCCATCATTACTGTATATTAGGCTCTGTAGCTCAGATGACGTATGGAGAAACAACTTTAAGACACTTCAACCTTATTTTCGTACAAATATATGTAGTGCAAAGAGTGAGTGAGTGAGTCGGGTTTAACGCCGCTTTTAACAGTATTCCAGTTATATCGCGGCGTGTCAGCTTAATGTGGGAGGAAAGCCCGAAGTGATGCAGGAATCAGGCGTTTACCACTTCGGTGAAACCCACGAGCACAGGTATGGTGCTGACAAACCTAGAAACATAATCGGGGCGAACCGGGATTCGAACCAACAATCATAGGTTTCTGGCGTGCCCAAGGGACCCAACTCTGCACAGCGAACCGCGGCGCCTTAGACGACTGGGCCACGTGTGCCCCCCTGTAGTGCAAAGAAAAATGGGGAAAAAAGAGCGTTTTAGCAACATTGTTTATGACAACAATGTTGAGTGCACACAGTGATGCCATGAACAAACTTGGATCTTGCAAGTCATTACTACATTCCTGTAGTCCTGTGCCCTGTGGTTCTTGTGAACTTGACGTTCAACCAGGTGAGCTTAATACATGTGACCCTTGGATCACCTACACAAATTAAAGTTTCTGCTTCCTAATGTTCATACTCCTTGAGGTTTCAGTAGTGAAACATAAAGTTCTACAAAGAACATGCCAATGACAGTTGACAAGCCATTACAACAAATTATTTCAGGTTGCATCTTAGTACCAAAAGTGATAGAGTAAGTTCTGTTTTTTGCCACTTTAGCAATATTCCAGCAATATCATGACGAGGACAAAAGAAACTGGCTTCACACATACCCTTTGACTTGCAGGTGAACTCTTTAACCACTAGGCTACCCCACCACTGGTGTTAAAAAATGGTGCTTGTTGTTACCCTGCCTGGCGTTCACTAGCAGTAAGAGGTTAAAACAAGGACTGGTTGGCTCGGAGTCAGTATACTGTGTCTGAGGGGGGTATCTATGTTAAAACTGTGGTATGGTATCTCAGTGGGCTAGCACTCCAGAATTTAATTTCCCATAATTAAGGATGCATATAACACACATATTATACACGAATAAATAAGTCTTGTGTACATTGATCAATCGGAAGGGGTGCTAATTGGGATTGTTCACTAGCCAATATATTAGCAAATATCGCCATGGGCGCTTAGCCGAACTTACCCTACGTAGATGTATCCATCTGCAGTGATGCCGAAGTGAGCATTCTGCACCCCATCCGAATCTCTAACCAGTCTGCCATCGCTGTAAATGTTGCCTGTAAACACAGCAAGGTGAGCTTGGTTCAACAATGCCCAAAACAGTGAGTGAGTTGGGTTTAACGCCTCTTTTAACAGTATTCCAGTTATATCGCAGTGTGACAGCTTAATGTGGGAGGAAAGCCCGAAGTGATGCAGGTCTCAGACATTTACCACTTCGATGAAACCCACGAGCAACACCTAGAAACGTAATCGGGGCGAACCGGGATTGGAACCCATAATCATAGGTTTCTGGTGTGCCCAAGGGACACAACTCTGCACAGCGAATCGCAGCGCCTTAGGGGCAGTGCCCCGCCCGAAAAAGTATTTCAGTTACCATGGTTGTATCATGCAGAGTTTGAAACATCTTCCCGAGGCAAGGGCAATAACTGACTATAAAAATCCAGCAGCCACCCTTGCTGAAGTAGGCTGGAATTATGGAGTTACAGTTTGGTTGGGCTAACGAGTCAATGCATAGGCCAATCAAAATTGCGTGACGAACTAGACATCCAGTTCATAAACAACATGGGTTTCAGTGTGCAGATGTCCGTTGACTACAGGATTTGCATAGCATGTGTACTGTCAACTGGGCATCAACAGATATTTTTAAAATCTTTTCATGTTTCCAATCAAGACGCTCAAGTGATTTGATGCGCGATGTAAGACCCGTTTTTTAACAATAGAGATCTTGATTATCGATCAGATCATATTGACTGAGCACTGCCATTTTGTTTGAAGCAAATGCAAGTAATATAAGAGATGGAATCTGATTGGTCAATAGGCAGGGATAAGAGGGACATAGAAGGGACTTAACTCATAGTAGCCATTGGTGGTGCTACGATCGAGCCTGGAAATTCCAGGCAAGGGTGGAAACTAGACTTTTATAGTCAGTTAACGCCATTGCCTCAGGAAGATGCGTTCAAAACTCAAACGTGTCCTGGTGTTCTTGAACATATTGAGGCCTACTTATACTTGATTCTAGACAGGGTATTACCTTGACTTACAAAAGTGGGGGTCCAGGTGACCCAGATAACTAAATTTTAAGGGGCCTTGCAGACAATATGAGGGTCCTGTGAAGTTATGTTATGGTGTAGTGTACTGTATGTTTACATAACTACTTTAGATCCTGGAATGAATCAATAATTGTGGTCATGACTGATGGATGAAATGACAGACACCCATAGGCATAACTGCTCTTGATGCGCTGTAGGTACTATGAATATTATTGTGCTGCCCTAGGGATGGAGCATAGTATTTTTCTGTGTCCTTTCTTTAGATTTGTGTGTACTGGAAGCACATTTGTAACCTCTAACTTTAGAGTTATGACAACATGGATGGGGACCCCTAACTTTCATGCGTAGTTTCTAACACCGTCACTTGATGTCAGCTGAAGATGGCAGAAGATGTTGCCGCAGTTTAGTGAAACACACAAGGATGAGCAGGTATGGTGAGGCTGACAGACCAAGGGTCATTATCAGGGCAAAATCAGGGCTAAGGGCTCCTTTAGACCCAATGGACCCTGATGGGTCAATCTTTAAATGTTCGACAACTTTGTAAAAAGGAGAGTTTATTGACGTCAACTACTTTATTATGATATCCATGAACTCACTCTCTTGTGTGTAACACTTCTATATGTCGTTCGAAAACATGAACTTTGAAATAGTGTATGCCTAAAACCTGACCTTTTCTTTCAGTTTTGGCATGATCATGTACATGAGTATGGCTTAAATGTGTGGAAAAAACAGATCAGTTCGAGGAAAATGAACCATTAAAACTTATTATTAATTTTTTACCACATGTTTGTTCGGTCTTTACCTTCATCACCCCAATGAAAATGGCAATAAATCATAGACTTGCCCACTTTCAAAATTTTCGACAAACCCTGAAAACCACACAAATACCAATTCATACGAACACATTTTATTACTTTAATAACAAAGGGGTCTTACTCCTAGCATAAATTGATCCCTACATCATACTGAAAGAGACAATTTTGTGATTCATCTGTCATCATAATTACTAACTGCCTCCATGGTCTAGTGGTAGAAAGTTCGCCTGTAGAGAGGAAGGTGCGGGGTTCAATCCCTGGCCACGTCACACCAAAAGATGTTAAAAGATGGTACTTCTTGTTACCCTGCCTGGTGCTCGAATTAAGCAGCTAAAACAAGGACTGGTTGGCTTGGGGTCAGTATACTGTGTCTGAGTATCCATGTTAAACTGCGGTATGGTATCTCAGTGGGCTACAACTATAAAATCTAGTACTAGTACAAGCAGCTACAGATGCATCTGATGCATGTATCATGATATTACATTTATACTAAGTTATCCTATAATAATTAGATCCACATCAAGTGCTTTTATGAGTTATCATGGTGTAATATTTATACATCATTTCATATAATTATAGTTTAGCAAGTAATACTTATCATCAGGTAAAATGCATATATAAAATAACAGGTTCAGTTATAGCTTTTTAGATAGATGCTAGCCTAAGGTAATGGGAGCGCATCTCCTAGACATACTATTCAATAAGACGAGAGTTATGTCTACATAGTTTAATAGATTTGAAGCTTTTAGATAAATACTAGCCTAAGGTATCAAGATCCCATCTCCCAGACAAAATTTAAATTAAACATCGCTATGCAAAAATCTTGGACGCAATGTTAAACATCACATCACCTCATGATTACTGTGTTTATATTACAAGGAACGTTGGCCAGCCAGGTTATACTCTGTGGTAAGGGTGCTTGGTTTGCTCTGTTGCCTGACCTGTGTGTCACCTGTTACCTCCGAATGCATCCATGACAGATCAATTGTGACATCCAACCAGAGTCTGTTATCTCCATGTAGTTCAGTTTACTAGCTCCAGGGTAACATATGGGGGTAATAGATAACAGAAGTTAGTTTCCCACTGAGCGAGGGAAGGAAATTAATGGGAATGGACTTACAATTTTATTTATTCTACTCAAAAGGAGTTTAACAACACCCAATGTTCTTTAACTTCTTTTGAGTAGTATATATCTTCTTGAGGCAAGAGAGTTAACTGACTGTAAAATTCCAGTTTCCACCCTTGTTAAACCAAGTCTGGACCAGACAATCCAGTGAGTGACTTCATGAGCATCGATCTACACAATTGGGATACAATGACATGCATCAACCAAGTCAGCGAGCCTGACGACCCACCTCTTACGGCAAGCATGGGTTGTCAAAGACCTATTCTAATATTGAAGACCTATTCTAACCCAGATCTTCACAGGTGCGGTAGGGATAATAACTCCAGCCACATCCAGCTACTTTGCTTGTCATGTCAGAATTTGTATTTTTTATAAACAAATTAATAAGTAAAATTCCATTTCGAACTGAATTCTTTGGGAAAAAGCCATAAACCAACAATGATAAAAAGGGTTTTAGACAAGTATATTTTGATGTGGAATAACTTTAACTGCATAAGAGTGTCAATCCACTTTAGATATGCCGGATGCTGAGCCTCCTCAGTGTTAATCAAAATGCTACAGTGCAGTACTCTGGATGCCATAAAATGAAATCTACTATAAGGATGCAAATATTTCAATGTTGAAATATATTTGTCATCTTTTTTTCTTCCAAAGGGTGACAAATCAATAAAATATTTATGAGCACACATTCAATGTGAAAATCCCAGTCTAATTTACTTGTACCAGCTGTGTATGCTGATACGAATAAAGGGTTTTTAAATTGGATGCCAAGTCAAATTAATTAAGAGTGGCATCCTCTGTATCACCAGGGCTGGATAAACCTACACCAACCCTTGGATCCTTTGTTCTCGCGATCTTAAATTACCCATCCTTGATTTCCATGGATATCTCACCAACTAATCAAATAGCGTCAACATAAGGAAAAACGAAATGGGTAAGGGGAGTGGGAGACATCCTTTCCATCAAAAACATTTTGAGAGCGTTCTTTTGTGTGGGTGTGAATTTTTCAATGTTAAATTTCTCGCAAACTCTGTCATAATTGAAGATGCTGGCTAGGGCTTGGACGAGTCCAAATTTACAACCCGGGTACCCGACACCCTATTACCCGGCCCTACCCGGATACCCGCTACAGGTCCCAAGAGGTACAAAATGTCTGAATGGGAATTGTTTTACCGCAGCCCTGGAAAAATCTATTTAGATATAGATCATGTATACACTGCAGTTGATAGACGCTTTATCCTTACTCAAACATATAAAAGTCAGAACGAATTTCTGCATAGTGAGAAAGAAATGTGAACATAAGAGCTATACTAGCTTGTAGTGTAACCATTGAGTTTTATTGTTAATGTCATGTTATTGTAAACATTATGTCACGTGACTAACCACGGGTCTGGGTAGTCATGTGGGTAGCCGGGTCCTATTCAGGACCAACCCGACCCGAATACCCGCGTTACCCGTCCCGGCCCCAGTGCTGGCTGCCATGTGGTTGACATTGTCACCCCAGCATTGAGGCTGGGTTGTAACTCACATTCTGATTGGTCTGTTAGACAGAGTAATGTAGCAAATCAAATTGGCTACTGAACATCAAGGGCAGGTAATCTGAGATCGTGAGAACCACGGAATGGGTCCAGGGTGAGAGTTGGGTTACCGATGTGAGAGCCCTGGTGATATTGAGGATGAGGGAGTGGGGCAGGAGGTTGTCCAAAGTGGCCATCTCCATGGGGTACTACCCATGCATGCTCATGCCTACAGCTGTGTGTGTATGCTCTCGGATGAGAAATATCTATCAGATGTTAAACAGATATTCCTATTTTTCAGGTGGGAACGGACCATCCTGAATGTGGGTGAATCCTTTCATTGAACTGATGCATATTCAGCATCAAAGAAAACGTAACGACACACTTTCAAAATATGTTATCCTCTAAGTTTTTGGTCTGAAATATCTTAATGTCCATGTCCACTGTTAAATTGAGTGAGTGAGTTGTGTTTAACGCCGCTTTTAACAGTATACCAGTTATATCACGGCACGTCAGCATAATGTGGGAGGAAAGCCCGAAGTGATGCAG